ACCGTACGTGGTCTCCTTTCCAGTCTTCAGCTGTCCTGAAATTCAGCTGACTGAAGGATTGCCTCTAATATCCTGCTAGGTCAATCATCACCCCTTTGCTTCTGCTGTCTTTGAAGCCATGGAATAATAACTAGCTTTGTGTTAGATGGCCAGATATGTTGCTGTTACTGTATTAGCCAGGGTGTCTGTTGTTTGAAGTCCCACTTACTGCATTCCAGCTGGTGCTCAGGAGTTCATTTAGGCATGTTTAATCTTCTCACTAAGTTTCAACTGCTGTTTTTCTTTATTAACCCAGTGAATAATACCAAGCTTTCCCAGGATGATTGACATCAGTCAGGAGGATTGTTGGTTATTGGAACTCCATTTGCTAATGAAGTCATCTTTGTAAGCAAACAAGTGGAAAGACTTTGGCTTTGATGTGTTTGCTGAGAACACTTTCTTGCAGACTGCTGCTAGGGTAGGGATATGAGTCCTCTGCAAGTGCTCCAAAGTTTCTGGTTTTGGAGATTGATTGATCCTTGTCAAAAGTTTGGACTTTCTGCTGTTCTTCCAGACACTAGACTGGCAAAACCAAACAAATGACAACCATCATAGCCCAATAAAAAATTCATTGTGCTTACCAACTTGTGGAAATCTTTTAAGGTGTCCTTATCTGTAGTACTTTGTCCTTGTTTTGACAGGCTGTGCCATGCCAAAGCATACTCTTGTTTTTTTGTCCTTTGGGAAATAGCATCCTTCATTTCATGACATTGTTGCAATGTATTGTTCTCTCCTCCTCCTCAAGACTCTAAATAAGAAATTATTTTATGATCTGTTTAACAAATCTAGGACAAGAAAGTGGAAGAACAATTCTGGTGATACAAAGGGTCAGAATCATAGTTTTGTCGTCCTATATTCAACTGTAAGGCCCTGATACCTAAAATAAGTTCATATATTACAGTTCATATTACCTACTTCTCTTTGGCAATTTCAAAGAAGTGAGTCTTAAATAATCCTGCCTTCTAGAATAATCCAGAGGAATTTTTTGCTTTTTTAAATGAATAATATGTATTAAGTAGATTAATCAAATATATAAAACTTCAGGGAGAAGTACAATAGCGTTAGTGCATTTCATGATTCCTCATTGACTCTCCTGAATGGATGATGACTTTAATTATTCTTTCATTAGCATTATGGCACTGATGGTTGATATTGTATGTATCCATATGCAATACTGGTGTTATATTACTTTGTTGTGGTTAAGCTTTGTTGTAGTTATGCTTTTATTATTTCCGGTCACAGTGTGGTGGCTTCTTTAGTACTTCCTCTGTCAGCTCCACAAAAAAAAAAAAAATCTTGTGGGCCCCTTGACTTGCTGCAGCCCTCATTGAAACAGGCAACTCTGTCACAGTTATCTCCTTGCACTGACAGTATGTAGTGTGTAGATGGCTGCTCTTGACTATGTGCCTCACTGCAAAATGGAACTAAATCCTTCTTTGGAATCTGAGAAAGCAGGGAACAAGTGGCAGAGGTGAGTACTCTCAGAAAATACATATTAACAGAACTGCCCCTCTGGCAAATTAGGGTTATCAGGTTGCATTTTGCTTCTTTTGCTGGCACCCAGAGAGATTACTTCATTTGAGTGCCTGCAGAAGAGCAGGGGCAACAACATTTGTGAGCTCATTGAGGCTTTCAAGCAGCCATCCTTCCCTGGATGATAGACTTGTACTGCCAGTTAGTAAAGCTGGTGAGCTTTGTATAGTAACTTAGAAGATCAGTTGTCTCTGCTTGAAGGAAAATTTCTGCCATGAGCTAAGTGAATGTCCTAGTTCATGTGGATTCAATGAAAAGAGGGACATGACTTTACAATGTACTGGCTGAGTAAGAGCAACGCTGAATAATGCCACAGATTCTAAAAAGGTGATTTGTGTGGTGATTACCTTCCTTCTGGAAGCAGCAGCATGCATTGAGGACTCTCAGTGACTTTAAGACTTTGGGATGTACAGGGATAAATTATATCTTATAAAGCTGGGCGAGGTCTCCACTCTGCTCTTTTCATTTTTTTGTCCATCATTTGCCTCTTCTTGATTGGAGACCTTTGCTCTTAAATCCATTTTAATTCACTTTTGAATCTTGGTATCTTTTAGAAAAGATATGCTTACTGCACAGCTGCTCCTTTCTGTGACTGGATTTATAATTTTATAATCATTTAAAGTGATGATGCTCCTAAGAAAGTGATAAATACGACCAAGTAGCACCACTTGGTCCATTGTTGGTGATTCAACTGCAATGTCAGAGTCTTAGAGAGTAACTTCTATTTCAGCCTTCAGGAAGCTGGCCAAGTGAGCTGGAATTTTCTATAGAATAATATTTTTTTATCTTTTCAGGTTAGATTAACTTTGTACAGAATTTGTAAATGAGTATTACAGGAAATATCTGACCTTGGAACTTCATTTTATTCTTTGCTACATTGAACAGCTTCAATCTCATTATGGTATTGTCTAATACTCTCAAGGTATGAGGAAAGGCCTCATATAGAGGCAGATATCTCCAAATGGTATCTTGCTGCATGACTTTATCAAGTTATCTCATAAACTCCTTAATTCTTCATAGCCACTATTTCTGAAGTAGGTTAAACATACCTCCTTCAGGTTCAAAATATATAAGCTGTGTGGGATTTGCTGACATAGTGAAAGGAAAATTGGCATCATATATCAATAATCCTGGATATGAAATGGAGACTCCATCTTTGGTATTGTTGACATTTATTTTCCTTAACTTTGACATTTGTTCCACCAAATCCTGCCTATGTGGAAGAATGATAGGGGAGAACACATGCTCCCTCATTTCGTTTCACATTCACAGAGATGCTGTTCATCATAGGCAGTTATTAGATTGTCCAAAGGAAATAAATCTCCATTCCTGTTAGCAAGAGTTAATTTTTACATTCCAGTGTACTTGAAATATAGAAACTTTTTCATTCAATTACATTAAGGCCATGTAATTTGTTTTGGCATCACTTGCCATACTACAATTTTGTAGAAGGGCTTGGGACTCCATGTAGTAACCTTTTGAAAGAGAGAATAATAAAACTGTATTTCTTCCTTTAAAACTTAAAATATATTACTTGACAAATTCAAGTTTAGATCTTTCTGACAAATGTAAAACAATAATTTACTTAGCTATGAAAGAGGTTGTATTTGCTTAAAACACAGTCCTTCATATTATAAAGATTATTTTGTTTTCATCTATACAAACATAGGATGCATTTTTTGTTTAGCTTTCAATTTGTTAATACACTTAATAATATAATCTTCATGTACAGCACAGTAAGAAATATACAGTAAGGATGCAATAAATCTGGGTAGCATTCTTTCCTGTTTTCCATGTGCTTTATCAGAAAGATACAGACTTTGTTTACCCAGCTCTTTACATCTTAGTTATTTATCAGATATGCATACAGAATTCCCTACTAGTAGAAGAAAAAAAATCTGTTCATGTCTGTATTGTCTAAAGATGATGTATCTCTTTTTGGACTGATGTACTCTATACCTACCTATAAAAATACAAGAGGAACAGGCATTGAGCAAATTCTGGGCACTACAAAATCCAGGAAGGCATTCTCTTGCTTGATAATGATTAGCTTTAATTAAAATTTAAAAAAAAACAGTCATCTTGTTTTGTGGATTTTTGTTTGGAGGTGTTTAAAATCTTCATTTCAATCAATTTTTAATTCTTATTTCATTTAAGATAGTGGAATGGTTCTTACTGTTGATCATTCAATTTTAATCATGCTTTGTGTGTATGGGAGTTGTTTGTGTGTTGATTTAGGATATTAGGCCAATTTGTATATTTATATGTTAGGTTTTATTCCTGCCTGGAAAAAGGTTAGCCCTCTTAATTTAGTGTCCACCACTGAGTAAATAAGTATTTATGGCTTTATAATAACATAGGGTAAAGAAATCACAGAATCACAAAATGACTGAGGCTGGAAGCGACCCATGGCAGTCATCAGGTCCAGCTGCCTTGCTCAGGCAGGGCCAGTTGCCCAGGACCATGTCCAGACAGCTTTTTACCATTCCCAAGGGTAGAGGCAGATATGTGATGCTTTTGAAACAGAATTTATGACTTGGCTTTCATTAATAGCTTATCCTTACCATGAATTTCCCTTAGATTTAGCAGATGTCAGATTCTTAATTGTCAATTTTCTTAGCATCAAATAGATGCCATAGATACAGCCTCTAAGATGAAGAAAATTTTTGGTTTTCTGGGCTCATCTGGACTGCTGGCATTTTTAAATCTTGACCAAATCTATTCATTATCACATTAATCTCTCCATTTGCCGTTAGTATTTCTAAAAAAAGAAAAGAAGATAACAAATTTATGTGGTTGATATTCTGGGGTTTTTATGAAATTCTGCACTATAAAGTTTGGATTGCTTTGTGAAATTCACTGAAAATAGAGCTCATAATCCATGGATTACCATGTTGATTGGCAAGCACTTGTGTTGTTTTGTTTTCCTCTTCAATTTCTTTTTAAACAGGTTTTTCACTAAAGCACTTTACAGTGTGGTGTATCAGGATGATTATAATTAAATTATTTTGATAATGGTAATTAAAAAAAACTATCATGAGATTTATTTTAATCTGTGAACTAATATTGCAGTACTTTAAAGAGTGTTATACTTACATATGCAATTTATCACCAGACATCAATTTCTTATGGAATTTATTGTTTTTCAAGATGTAGAAAAGTTCTTTAGTTCTCAATGTGATATGTGTATTGATGTTTGAAAGCTTACATCAGGCTGTTTCATAGGTGTCTAGGATATCTCAGGTATTTCATTTTGAAAAGGTGATGGTGATTTTAAAATGAGGTTAATGTCCAGAAAAGGTACTACAAAGAAAACTTTGTAAGCAGAAAAAATACTTAATGCGGAAATGCATGATGCCTTGCTCCAATGAAGTTCTAGTGGAGTAACTCTGATTTGTTTTTTTGTTTGTTTTTTTCTTGAATTCTAGATTTATCCATGGCAGTACAAAAATTTTCACAGTCTTTACAAGATTTTCAGTTTGAGTGTATTGGAGATGCTGAAACTGATGATGAAATTAATATTGGTAAGTATCCTCTTTGCTTTGCTGGCAGTAGCATTTTTATAATTTCTTATAGCATTTTATCAGAAATACAGTGGGGCAGTTCATAGTTGTTTTTAAATGGCTCATGTCACAAAAATAGAAAAAATTTTGATAAGTAGAAACCATGCAAGACTTTAAAAATACATGTCAAAAAACTATGTTTTAATGGCATGTCTTGATTTATTGCAGCAGAAAGTATGCAACAGTACTTTTGTAAACTGAGTCAATTGTGAATCCTCTAAATTCTGCTGCTACTTTTATATTTCAGTCAGTTTTCAGTGGGTTACTAAAAGGTACACAAGCTTTCTGTGATGTAACATAAGTCTGCAAAATAACACCTAAGTGCCTGGTAATACACAGGAAGTATTTAAAGGTCTAAAAAGAGGAATATGTTCATTACAACTTGTGCATTCCTAAGTATATGGTTGTCTGAACTTTTGCCAGGATAATTTACTAGCTGCTTATTGTTCTGTCTCTGTACACACCAGAAATTCTACATTTGCAGAACTGAACAGCTCAACTTGTCTTGAATGTAATCCTCTTTAATGTCATCAAAGTACTCCTCCCTCAGCACACTAATCCTGGAAATGTTTCGAGGGTTCAGAAATTCAGCTGCTCTTTACTGCAAGACATTGCTGCAGTTGTAGTGATGCTTTTACACAGTAGCACACCAGCTGGAGTGCTAACCCCCACTGGTAAGAAATTTGGATTACAATCCATCTTCAGAAAGGCTAAATTCGGTATCATGAGTCTTACATACCACATGGCCCCCATGCGTCTCCTAAAACATCTGAGAGGAAGTAAGATGGTTCTTCAAGAGTACTGGCTTCTAAAAACAAATAATTTGGCAGTACAAGAGGGAACGTAGGACTTGTTGGTATTTTTTGAAGAAGTTCTATGTAACACAGAGAGGAAATTCAAATTTAGTCTTTTCCAAGTGTATCTATTATTATGGTTTATTTTCAAGTCTGCTCTCCCTTCAATTTTTTCCTTTTCCTGACTGAGTCATTGGACAAAAGGTCTGAACTGCATGTTTTCACTTGCAAGGTTTGCCTCATCCTCACCCTACAACATTGTGGTAGTCAGAAAACTGTCATCAGAGATGACTGGTATTTGGTCACGGTCTTCCACTAACTCCTGGCAGGGAGTGGGAGGGGAGGTTTAATTTTACTGGCAATTAAAATAGGGGAGTGAAGTCACTGAGCTGCTGCTACTCAGATGTAAAACCGCATGCATTCTTCAGGTGTGTCCACCTTGCAAAGAGAAATGGTGTGCATGTACTTTCTGTCATGCTACATATTATTTCTTGGCTGTTAAAATTATATTATGTATGTATGTTTTTAAACTAAATCTGCAGTATCTCAGTTATATGTCTTAGATTTGGTCAATAACTTTTTTTAAAGGTTTTGCATTTAAAATCAGGTGACTGAGAACAAAGACAACATTCATTTTACTTATAACCTAAATGTAGCAAAGAAAAGACATTTTATTGTTTGGACATTAAACAGGCATTTAAAACTGTTCAAGAAAAAAACACAGTTCATGAAGCTTGACAGCTGATTTATTTCACTTGAAGCTTCAAAGAAGGGATTTCTATCTTCCAAAGGACCAATTGCCTGATGGATTGTCATGTACATCAAAGAAGCTTGTAAGAGTAAAAGGTAAACTGACAGGAATCAAATTCAAGTCTAACAGAGCTTGAATGATACTGTGTGCTTTTATAGGGTAAGGCTCAATTTTTGATCTCCCTAGAGCAGTGACCTAGAATTTATCCATATCTTTAACATGCCCCAATGAGATAGATGTTTGCTTATCATCAAAGACAGCTTTGTATAGATGAATCTTGCTTTGTACCTCCTTCTGCCTTCACCCTCTTTTTCTAAAAATGTCTACAGCTGTGCAGGCCAGTGAGTTCTGCTTCAGTCTGCAGTGATATTCTGACTTGATAACATTTGTAAAACCCTATGGATATATGTATAGGGGCTTATTGTAAGGACTACATTTCTATTTCAAGCTTAGCATTGAAAATCTACCCTAATAACCCTTAGCACTGGGAATTCACCTCTGAACAAGACTTGTTCTGTCGGCATGTATTTGAGTATTTTTTTAATAAGGTTCAGATTCTTTCAGCATTAAATATAAGTGATTTAGATGATTTTTTTCCTTTCTTTTCCTTACCAATAAAAAATATTTGGAATTGAATTGGTAGCTCCATTAACATTTTTGAGGCAATAATGGAGTTGAGGGTCTCTCTTTAGTAACTAAAGACAACTTTTTTTTTATTGGCTTCTTTTTGCTTTCCAGTCTGAGATCTAATAAGAGCAGTTTTATTTGCATTTCCTATAAACAGTGCATTTTTAGTTGCTCTTTTAATATAACTTATTTATTCCAGTAATCCCATTACATAAAATACGTAAGAAGTAATTTTAGTTAAGCTTCATAACACACTCCGCATAAACAGAATTATGGTGGTGTTATTCATACTTATTTTAATCCATCTCCTGTTTAATCCAGTGATTTATTTGTGTGGGTTGGATTGGGTATTTTAATTCCTGTATTTGATTTCTAGTTTTGATGATTTATTATCTTTTATTTACAAGATTTATTTTTTGCATTGCAGAGGTGTTCTTCTTTGACAGAAAAAATCTTATCTGTGTCTGTGGCTGTGTAATGCATTTTAGGTAGTTTTTTCATGTTGCTGCAAGTTAGGCAGATTTATCTTCATAGTCACTTTCAGATATACCATGCCTAGTTAAGAGTCATTTTATGCATGAGTTGTGAGGAATTTCTGTGACTTTCTTGGATAAGCAGACTGCCTTGTTCCTCAAATCATCTCCAGCTCTTATGTTTTTGGTTGGTTTTTTAACTGTGAGCATCAAAGGACTCAAGCAATAAAACCTTTTTTAGTTTTCAATCTTTTTCCCAGAAAATTTGGTTTGGGAAACAGTCCCCATCTTTACTAGTTTTTCTCATTCACAAAATAAAACAAGCTAGCAACAATTGCTGTTTTTGTCTTTCCTCTGGTTTGGAATGCTTGTGGAAGCATGTGATCTACAGCAATGCATGACTGTTTAATGGCAGAACATATTTATTAGCTCCAGTTGCATGTGATTCAGTGAAGCTGTAACTGTGTTTTGTGTAACTGAAAAGTTTTGCAGAAGATGGCATTTTCAACACAAAAATAACAAGATGAGTGACAGCGAATTAATAACAATAAAAAGCCATAGTAATGAAAGTTTTATGTAACTTGCCCTTACTCTGAGAAGAGAGTGTTGCTTTCCTAATCTAACAATTGTGTTTTCCTCAGAAATAACAACACTTGATAACACTCTGCCATTTGCTCTTTAGACATATCACCCTGTTCTCAGCCCTCTTTGTAAATATTTTGCACAAAAATTAAATACTTAAGACTGACAGTAAAGGAGGTCAGTCATTTGTCTTGCACAGTGGGAGTTTTGTGTAAAATGGATGCATGATTTTTACAGGTTTCAAACCTTAGAGGTAACATAGAACTTAACATGCATGGGACAGCTGCAAAACCAATCATGTCACTTTTTCCTCAGTATATACTGCAGGCATAATTTTTGAAATGAGGAGGTTTGCTGAGCTCATCCTACTATTATCCAACTTGTGTCACCTGGATCTCTCCCTAGGAATTTCCCTGTTTTGAGCCTGTTTTATTCTGTTTGTGTTATCTGTTTTATGGCTAGAGATGAAAATAATAAACATTATTAACACAATGGAAATCTGTCTTGTGGCTTTAAGAAATTTGTGTCTATTTTGTCTTATGGCTAATTGTATATCTGTGAGATTTAAATCTGCAGTATAAGACCATGCTCTTCAGAATTAAAAAAAGAAAAAAAAAAAAGAAAAAGAAAGAAAAAATATAAATAAATACTGATATCCTGGCATTTTATTTTAGTATCTGTGTTTTTTTGTCAAGTGCTGTTTAGGAAAGTGCACTGAAAAGCATGTGTCTTTCACTCTGTGACTGCTGGTTTTGAAGTTTGGGGTTTTCTTCCCTGCAGAGAATTGTATTATGACAGATGTTTCAGATAGCATCAGATGCTTGATTTAAGAATGTAATAGGATTATGATGATTTATGAAATCATTATTAGTTGAGCCACAAAGAATAGGCCGAAAGTTCTAAAATGTGGTATCTTTTCTTGTGGGCATTGAGTTCTTCTCCTGCCTCTAGCGGTTGGGGCTCGTGATCTTTGCTGACTCACACCTCAAGTTGCTAATGGGATTATTAAATTGCTTGCAACTAACCATCTACAGAACTGTTAGCTCATACCTGGCAGTTATGTTGTTTACAGCAGTTAGTTTCAATTTGAACTTTGAAAAATTGACTCAAATGTGCTGGAGAGAAAGAACTCAAAACCAAACAAACAAATGTAGAATGCTAATAGTAGTTGTTTGTTAGAGTCCACTGCTGTGTTTCCCTTTCTTGTTTTAGTTGAACAGTAATGCCAGACGCTCAGTCTTTTTTTCTCACACTGGGCATCCATGTGTACAATGCTTTTCAGTTAGCATTTGCTCTACCCTCTTGGAGAGCTTGTCAGAGGACAAGCATCCTGTAATTCAGAGCAGCAAATAGATCTGGACTGGGAAATTTGTATATAAAACTACAGGAAAAAAAGGAAAAGAAAATGATGTTTCATTTCCCCCCCCCATCTTTTGTAACAGTGTAAAAGTTTCATTGACTTTAAGAGATACCAAATTCTATTTTTAATGGTTCATGCTGTGGATACAATGCTCTACTCAAAGAAATAAATTTAAAACAACAAAAAATGGCATAGGAGCTTTAAACATGCCTACAGTGTGTAGAGACAAATCTTGACAATCAGTCTATGAACTTGGCAGTCTCCAGGTTAGGACACTGCCTTTTGGAGGTTCATCAGGAATCTGAGAAGGTAGATGTCAGGTTACTATTATTTCAAGCCACTGTTGCTTGTGGTGTGTAATGGCTTCCTGAATT